TTGTAGGAATCCCTGCAGCTGTTTCAGGTTTCAGGGCGACGGTAGAGAACGGTTTGCTGAGACCTTACTGGTATTACTGTGACTGCCTTGCTGTATAAGGATATGCCCCAAGTATCGTATCTCTGGACAACAAAATCGGCATTTTGGACGACTCGTGGGCAGGTGGAATTCTTGCATCCGCGCAAAAACATTTCTTAGGTCCTTCAGGTGCCGTGAGAAGGTTAGAGATAGTAAAATGAGGTCGTTTATATAAGCCAACAGTTCGATGTATTGTAATCCACTCTTAAACATGTTAATTAGTTGCATAAATGTAGCCGGAGCATTTTTCAAGCCAAACGACATTCTTCTGAGCTAGTAAAGCCCAAAAGGAGTCACAAATGCGATTTTCCGCTGGTATTATCTAGTGGCCGTGTTCTGCCAATACCCTGCCTTAAGGTCCATAGACGACATATAAGGAGTCCGGATGGTCTGTTGCAGTAGGTAGTCTATGCGCGGCAGCGGAAATGTGTCCGTCTCAGTTATTAACCCACGGTAGTCGATACATAAACAGGTGCTGCCGTCGAGTCTGGGCATTATTATCACATTCTTCGATTATGCCGCTCCGCAGTATCTCTTCCACTTCTTTCCGTAGCTTAGCCATTTTTGAGGGAGTTAGCCGATACGGTGGGTGAACGACTTGCAGCGTCGGCAGTCCGTGATCAGCGAATAGATTTGCATGGTTTATGATGAAAGTTTCCAATGCCTTTTGGTCACTTTGTTGCAGATTCGGGGCCTTGTCCTCCCGGAGGACGAGATCTAGGCTAACGATCCACACTATCTTCCGTGGAGAATTCGGAAACAGCTGCTTACGGGCGGTGTTGCTTTCCGACTGCCGGTGAATTTGAATTTGGGCTTCGCGTCAGATGAATTTGGTCCTCCTGGTTTCTCCTTTGGGGAAAGGTCCACGACTGTGTGAAACCAAGCGAAAGGCCGGTCGTTGTCTAGTTCTTCGGTAGCTTCGGTAACGCTCACAGAACAGGTCCGCACTAGGGGTTTGTTGATTTAGAGCTGGGAGGTGGTTCGAGCTTAGTGCGTCAAGTACGATAGGATCGGTGGAAAGTGTAGCATTTTTTGTGATGAAAATGTCAAGGATGTCAGGGAATTAATTGTGGGGGGCAGGGAGGAACGTGGGATCAGAGGGTGCTTCAACTGGTTGAAGTCGAGAACTTTGGCAAGAAGGAAGGGACCTTTACTGTTGGTTTGTCGACAGCCCTAGGAAATGTGTTTAGCGTTGAAATCGTCTGCGGCGATAGTTGAAACGCCTGGGGGGAGGCGAAGGGGGAGTTCAGGAAGGAGTATGTCCGAAAGGGTGGAGTATAGAGAGATAATCCTAAGAGGGCTGGATGTTAGTGAGACTTCGATGCTGACTGCTTCTAAGGAATTTGTGGCCAAAGAGATAGGTCCGTGCTTTAAAGAGTTCCTAACAAGAATGGTCACGGCGCCGGCACCGCCGTTTTCACGGTCCCTTCTGTAGGATGAGAAGTTTGGGACGAAAAGTTTGATTTTTTCTGACAAATGAGTTTCGGCGGTACAAGCAACAGCAATTGACTTATGCTTAAGGAAGCGTTCGAGTTCAGTCAATTTACCTCTAACGCTTTGTGCATTCCAGGTAACTAAACGAAGATTATGTGAGTGGGTTGTATTACACATTGGAGGGCGTTTGTAGGACGGCGACAAGACTTGCTACTATCGTTTGAACGAGGGCCTGAATTCTCTGTGCGAGAGATGAAGCTGCAGGGGTGTTTGGGAACGCATTGCGTTTTTGAGAGGGAGGGGGGAGCGCCTGTCACTGCCCTGGCGTAGGAATTTTGGAGGAGCGTCTTTCTGGGGAGGACTGTTGAACGGGGCGCTGGTTGCATGTTCTTTTGAGTGTTAGCGGGTATTGTAGATTTGGGGGGGGGGGTACGGTTCTCTTTGGAACCTTGGGACAGCCGCGGTATGTGGCGCAGTAACTTCCTTTGCAATTAGAGCAGGAAGGGGTGGCATTTTTTCTGTCCTTTGCCTTTCATTTGGCAGTGATGTGATTGCGACCACAGAAGGAATAGACCCAGGCGGCGTGACAGTATTTAACCGTGTGGAAGAATTTCATATAACGCCATTGTGGGATGTCTTTAGTAACTTTTTTTGGTTTAACATTTATGCTGAGCACGTAGACCTTGCCAAGTTCGAAAGTTGACTTAGACTTTGGAGAGGTTTTGTCCAGATGAACGGACACTAAGGGCCGGATTTTTCCACCGTTGGACATTCGGTGGACACCGTAGCAAAGTCTTTGTGAACAAGTTTGGCTTTGATATCGTCTGTGGAGATGTCTTCGCAAACTCCGCGGAGGACAACATGGACATCGCGGTCTTGTTTAAGTTGGTTTGTAGGAAACTCAAGTTTGGATTCGTCAAGGAACGGCGAGAGTCGACGAAAATCGTCCACGGAGTTGGGATAGACTTTTATAGAGTCATTGGTATTTATCGCCCGACGTGTGGCGCAAATAATTTTCGGCCAAAGAGACTTTTGGCGGATTTCGATGGGGTGGGGGCTTTGGTGTCTCAGCTAGTTGTGACGGTCTCTGCCTCAGAATCAGAGGACGTTGAAGAGCTCGAAGACAGAAAGATGGCACTTCTTTGTCGTTTGTTATGCCTCTTCCCGGCTTCTGTGAAGCCGTCAGCGGCAGTGGGGGGTGGCTCTGAATCGGATACTTGAGCCTAGTTGACAGAAGAAGGCACATCGTCTTTCCACATTGGCAATGAAGGGACTCGTTCAGAATGCTGAAGGAGGAGTTCTGTATGTCCGGTGCTTGGCCATTTTACGCCTCGATGTGATTTTTGCTAGAGAGGGTTGCTGGCGATGGTAAGGACGTATTCGCTCTCGGTAAGCCCGAGTTCCGCGTGATGCCCTCTCGTACGAATCAACTAATTTTGATAAGATTTACAGCATTTGGTGTAGCTTTTAAGCTTTAGCTATGATTTTAAAACGTCCAGATCTGATGAATACTCGATTTCGGCTTGAAATCAATAACTTCCTAATTTTGAAAAATAAGTGGTTTTTATAGCGGAAAGTCAAAAAGTATTCTGAACCCTCATTCATTTTGTGTGCAATATGGGTAATGGAGCGAAATTTTTATGGTGTCCAGGGCGGCATTCAGGAAAAATCCGGCCCTGTATACTGACCAATGTACTGGTTTCTATTTAGGAACATACTCTAGGTTATTTGCCGCATTTTCAAATCACTAATGATACTTTAAGTTTAAAAACTTTTAAACTTTTAATGAAAACGTGAAAATCCTTGTATTCAAAACATCAAAAAAACAACTGTTGTCTCCATGGTCTCTTATAGACGTCTTCGATTGAATAGCCTATTGATATCTTTATCAAAAGAAGCTGGGGTTTCCATTTTGATTTCCTAGATTGCGCATATGTATTATCCGTGTTATGCGTGATGACTGCTAAGGGATGGAGTTCTAGTCGCAGTCGAATGTATACTTTCTATTTTAAATTTGTTTATTTATTTTTACTAATTTCTTTTTTGACGGATATATTTAGGATCATAAGGTGTGAAAGACAACACTCACTCTCTGATGATTTGATATTTCAAGTTCCAGCATAGTCAAACGTTTTTGTTATTTTTCTATGACCTTAACAGATTTTGATAATACGTATGCGAAAGCAAGGGAACTAAAGTGGAACCAGTCCCCCTAGCGTCTTGTGTCTTTATTACGCCTACAAACTCGAACTCATCTCGAAATGTGTTAAGTGGGGCTGCAAAAGTTCGTGAGGGTGCTTCTCAGAGAAGAGAGACTAGTATAGAAGTCCAATTCAAATGGAGGACTAAAACGTGAGTAAGAAATTCTAAATAGAACCAGGAGATGACGTTGCTATGAAAATGAGCGCCTCAACGCTGTATTGAGTCGGAGCAAAGAGTGAACGCAGTAATGGCAGGGGTAAATAGTAGAAGTGGTGGGATCATAGAACGCATAAGTCTTTTTACTTTGTTGTTGTAAGCCAAGTTTGTAAAAAAAAAAAAACGGTTGATTTTCCGAAGCGACAACTACCGGTCGGATGACAGAAGCTTCGAGATTTACCGACATGTTATCCGAAACGAAGTCCGGATTATTAACCCAGCATTGGACTTCTATACTAGTCTCTCTTCTCTAGTGCTTCTACTGCTCTATAGTTCAAAGTCCATCCTTTATATATGGTCATCAGTAGTCGCTCGATAGTACACAACCATAGACATAACAAAATAGAGTTCCCTACCCTGCCTCACATACAGGTATGCAGCCCTGCAAATTAAGGTGAGACGTGAGGTGAAAAAGAGTATGACTCACCCATTATTCCTTCTCTATCGTTGTTTAATGGCGCTTCTGATTGACTGGCATAACTAACTACATGAGTGTGTATGAAACAGAAACAAAGACAAAAGATAAAATAATTCGAAGTGGTCTGTATTCGAATTATTTTATTCGATTAAGCTAACGTGTCTATCACGTTGAGGTTGGCTACGCCGGGATTCGTTTTCAGCTAGTAGATATCCACACAAGTGGACCTTGTTGAAAAATACGTAATCCTAAAATGTAGCATCGTGCTACAGATGGCGTTCACTGTGCCGTTTGTAGTATTTTCTGAAAGACAAAAGATCTTCAGAACCCTTCCTTTTCTGTTCCTTTTTCTTTAAGAAACACATTTCGGATGAGGTTGCTTACTCTATTTTATTATCTTTATTTAAAAAAAGTATTTGTTTTTGACTTAGTTAAATCATTCAATTTCTTTAGGCTTGTTGTTTGAAATTTGTCTTACACATAAAAAACGTCTAGATTTTATATAAAACTGAAAAAAAAATCCTAGATCCAGGGAAATTTCTTTGGACCTACGAATACTAACACACTAAAACGATTGACAAAATGTTTTTTAGTATCTATTAAATTGTTGTTCTGCATCCATATTAAAATTGAATGATGTTAATTTTTCTAGTTAAGCAGATATATGTTCAAAGGTGGAAATCCATTTGGTGTCGATTTAGCTTCAATTAACATCCAGAGGGGCAGAGATCATGGTATGAGACCTTACAACGATTATCGGCAGTTAGTGGGATTAGATCGTATTTATGCATTTGAAGAATTTGGTCCAGTAGTAAGTAGCAACAAATTAAAATAAACCTTTAATAAAAACGATTTTCGGAAATGCAACATAATTTTGATTATGTGTAGAGTTTGCATAATTTGTTTGAAAATAACATTTATTTGATTGCGCAAAAAAGGATAATTGTATCAATTTGTAATATTTTCTAAATTTTATCTGTCAAAAAAA